GGCACTCAGGAAGAGATGCAGACAGGAATATGGAGGATTATGATACAAATGAGGCAGATTAGTAAATTGATAAGGCTCGTGTCGTCTCGCAGACAGTCATCACAGTCTGGATGTGACTCACTCAAAGCTCACGCGGTCATTCTGCTTTGGGAAGTTCGCTGCGTCCACGCTGGTAGTGGGTCTGCATGTTTGTCACATTAATGCAGCATGTGTGTGTCTTTGTTTTAAGCACCACTGTGGGATTTCCTCACTTGTTTAGGTTCACATCCATCTCACTCATTCCTAAAAACAAAAACAGCATTTCCGAACAAAAGGTCTGAACAGGCTCAGACTTGAAATCACTCCACAACACTGAGTCACAGAGGGCAGCCAAGTCAGACTGCACACACACGCGCACATGAAATAGACAAACATTGTAGATACATTAGTCAAACCTTCTTTTTACTCTTCGCATATAGCCATGATCAAAAGCGTGGGTGTGGTGGGGGCTCTCTCTCTTTGACTTCCTGGTTTTCACATGTTATTTGTAAAGACGACGCTGAGCCGGGTCAGGAGATGTTGTTGTTGTGGGTGTGTAAAAGCCTCTTCAGTGTGAGATTAAGCAATACAAATAAATTTGACTATTGCAAAAGATTCAGATGGGCCATGAGTCACTGACAGACACACACAGAGCACACGTACTTTGACCCCTGAGACACTCTTAAATTATTCACAGCAGAGTCATTGCAACGATCCATAGAGCAGATGAGCAACAACTCTTTAATAATTCAGCCGCTCTGGACTTGGAGATGCTGTGAAATACGCTTCACATTTGCAGTGAGTTATTAAGAGCCGGTGAGGGTGTAATGGATCGGCGCGAGCTCACCGATTCAAAAATCAAAGGTTTTTATAGCTAACTTACATTTTTGGTGATGCTCGCAGTTGTTCCCAAGAATTGGCTGGAGAGAGAGAGAGAGAGAGAGAGAGAAAAGAAGTATATATTTATAGTTGCTGTGTGAAGCGGGCGTAAATGCTGCATCATCACTTCCAGAAAGTTACAGCCCACCTCAATCTGACATCTGGAGTAGCTGTTCAAGAGAATAGATGGCAGAAATAGAAAAAAGTAGAACTGAAGGAGGAATATTCAGTCTCAGGAAGAGACCTCCCACACAGATACCACATGGTTCTCCTCAAAAAACCACCAGCAGCCACACATGCATGCGTTTAGAGTGTGACTTAAATGCATGATTTTCAGCGTTAAAGTTACTCCGTGTTTACGAGGAATGCTAGACTCATTTTTTTCTCCCATATGTGTGGTAAGAAAAATATCTGCGACATTAAGACAGGCGGCTGCTCTTCTTGTGTGTGTCTGCAGGGCATGCGTGTGCTGGTGGATGCCCGTGACAAGCTGGGTATCAGCTGGCAGAGCTGTGAAAATGAGAAGCAGGGCATGCTGGTGATGTCGTGGGAGGGCCGCGTAGGCGCTTCGGGGGTCGAGCCCAGTGAGTTCCAGCTGTACGTGATGGCGCTGAGCGCGCTCTGGGCGGACGCCGGCATACAGGAGGCCTACACGAGACGCTCTGAGTTCCAGCTGGTGAGTAGATTAGAGAGACATTATTCTCAGTCCTTTTAATATCCTCCCACGCGCCTACGAACTTTCATCACTAACCACCTGAGACATCCAAAAGTGGTCATTTTAACTGGATGATGTTTAACCCTTGTAATTATATGAAAGTGATTATTGCTATAGAAACTCTGCAAGATGCAGTAAAGTCAGTCTGTGCTTTTCATGGCAACAAGCTGCAGTACTCTGAGGTGGTGAGAGGGTGCAAAGCAAGAAGGGAGGGCAAGGTACTCGTGTGCAGGTGCTGCAGAAAATGAGCACTTAAATCAAAGCGTTGTTTCGAATATTCAGCTTTTTTAACAGCATTATTATCATCTGAGCAATTTAGTTTGACTTTTCTGCTCGAGTGCTTTTTCATGTGCTGCTATTGTGTTTGTTATAGTTAAACCAAAGCAAATTAGCAGCGAAACAAACTGTTATCCTACTTGTACTCTTTTCCCCTCCTTTACACAAATATGTGGATGTTTTTTAGATTAGCTGAACCATTGCAAAATATTTCCCTGATCCTTTTTGCTGCTGCAGAAATCTCCCATGTGGTGCAGATACCCCTCTTTGGGATTTTATAGACTTAAAGAAAAAAAAAATGTATACAGACAAAAAGTCTTTGTAACCATTTAAAAGGGCATTTCAGTCAAAAAGTGTTTGTTGTCTTTTGTAAACCCAGTCAATAGAAAAACAAGAGCAAAGGTTCAAAATGTTTTAACCTACTCGTTCAGCAGTCTAAGGCAGAAGCTTCCAACCTTTACACATATCAGAGGCCTATAAATGTGAACTGAAGATGCTCGTGTTTATGTCAGTGATACTTACAGTGCTGTAAAAAGTATTTGTCCCCTTCCAGATTCGTTAATTGTTGTCACACTTATGTGTTTTAGATCATCAAGCAAATTTTAATATTAGACAAAGATGACCTGAGCAGATACAAAATGCAGGCGGGCAGCATCGGCACCTAAGTTAGGAGCGATAACTCTTCAACAAGGCGACGTAGGAGCTTCAAATTTATATTATAGATACATCTACTAAAAATCTTTTCTTCTGACCTCAAGGTTAGAGTAAGGTTAGAGTAAACTTTCTGAAAATCTTGTGCGTGTGATAGCTTGAAAACAAGACAATGTAGGATTTTGAAATTGATACCATAGGTGTGTCTAGTGGGAGGATAAGGGGTAGTGTAAGGAAGAGGACTCCTTACTACATTTGTTTATATTATATTATCTGTATAGCACTTTAGAGCACACCTTCAACTTTATTAAAATCACCTTATCAAGCACTTTTTTTTAGCATTGCACTTTAAGCACGGATTTGCACAGTAAAACATTTGCACACAATAAGTTTAATTATTTATTGACTATTTATTGGGAATTTTAAAATCAGTTGGTAGCCTTGTTTCAGATCCAGCACTGCTGCTCCTCATCAAAGAATGTGGTGGTTGTCTGTCAGGAGAGAAGAATGCTGATTGAGATTGAGATTAAGGTTTACCAGCAAGGAAAACTAATGCAAATGTGTGTGTGGGAAATCTAGGAATAAAAGTGGTGCAAAAAAGTGTTTGTAAGATATGATTACTCATCTTTCTGGGAAAGACCATTGGTAAAGAGAGTGTGGTGAATCTTTTCGTGCTTGGGTTTTTGTAAAATTAAAGTGTGAAATATTTATTAATATGAAAAACGTGATATGTATTTATTTATTCTAATTGATATATTGTATACTGTGGTGGAAGGTTGGGATTTAAGAATTTACCTGAGAGTGGAAGAATGGGTTAGTCCGTGACAGCTGAACATATTTAAAGGTTGCCGGTTGTCATTAGAGGGTTGATTGTTCTGTGAAGAAGCTCGGCGAGTGAATTGTTGTAAGGAGAGCTGTATAGCAAATAAATACTTTTTGTTCCACTACACTTGCCTTGGTCCATTTCACTGTGTTTCTAGCCGCTAAGGGCTGCCCTGTTACAGGTAGCACTGGCAGGACTTTTAAATGATGATTTCATATTATGAAAGGAAAGTAGCGACCCAAACCTACTTGGCCCTGTGTGAAAAAGTAACCTCCCCCACTCCAGTGATTAGCCACAGTTTTTGAAAGTTGAGTTTCATTATTGACATCCAGGCCTGATAACTGCCAGACCTGTTGAATTTAAAAAAATCACTTAAACAGAATCTGCCGGACAAAGTGAAGTAAAGTCACTGACATCTGTCCATCACAAAGGGTTACAAAGTCTGAGGCTTTGGGACTTCAGTGACTACAGCGAGAAAATTTGGAGCAGTGGTGAACCTTTCCAGGAGTCACTGGCCTACTGAAGTAAGAGTGCATAGACTCATCCATCAGGTCACACAAGAGCCAATAAGGATGTCTAAAGAACTGCATGCTTCATATGTGTCAGTTAAGGTCAGAGTTCACGATTCTATTGGGACTGACGAGACAAAAGATGAACCTTTTGTGTCCTGTTACATCTGCTGTAAAACTAACACAGAGGTCATAAAAACATCATCATAGCTACAGTCAAACATGGTGGTGGTAGTGTGACGGTCTGGGGCTGCTTTGCTGCTTCAGGACGACTTGCTGTAAGTGATGGAAACACGAATTCTGCTCTTTACCAGAAAATCCCGAAGAAGAATATCCGAACATCAGTTCAAGAGACCTCGGGTTATGCAGCAGGACAATGATCTAAAACCTCTCCAGCAAGTCCACCTCTGAATGGCTCAGAAAAAACAACATGAAGGTTTTGGAGTGGCCTCGTCAAAGTCTGGATTTATATCAAACTGAGATGTTGAGGCGTGACCGTAAACAGGCCGTTCATGCTCGAAAACCCTCGAATGTTGCTGAATTAAAACAATTATGCAAACAAAATTAAAATTCCTCCACAGTGATTTGAAAGTCATTTCCAGTTATTATAAACACTTGTTTGCAATTCTTGCTGCCAAGCGTGGCGCAACCAGTTATTAAGTTTAGGGGGCAATCACTTTTTCACATAGGTTGGAATAGATTTTTCCCTTAGTAAGTGAAATCATGTTTTAAAAACAGCATTTTGTATTTCCTCGGGTTATCTTTGGCTAAAATGAACATGTGTTTGGTGATCTGAAACATTGAAGTGTGACTAATATGAAAAAAATAAGAAATCTGGAAGTGGGCAGATACTTTCCCACGGCACTCTACAATGTCCAGTTCTTCATTAGTGTTATTTTCTAGTTTCTTCTGTACACTTCCCACCTTATAATACTTAACATGATTTATTGGTATTATGTAAAGAA